CACAAAAGACACGTTTTGGAAGGTTTGTAACATTAGTTGATTTATAAAGTGTGCGTGTATTTTGTGAATGTTTTATATGCATCATGACCTCCTCGTCTCGGGAACCTTCTTTTAATATATATTTATTGAGTAAATCTTGACCCCGTGATTTTCTAAGTAGTTATTTTTGGAATGAGGTACGGATTCATTTGTTGTGTTGAGTCTGTCATTCTTTATCTTGGCTGTTGGTTTCAAAATCGGAACTAGTTGATTATAAGACGAGAATAGAGTGTATTTACCAACTTCCTTTTTATTTATATAATGTGACTCATTGAGGTGTAGAATCGGAAATGCGAGTGAAATGGGCGGGTTAATGACGAGAAACATCTACATAATATGTTAATGACGAGAAACATCTACATAATATGTTAATGACGAGAAACAACTACATAATATGTTAATGACGAGAAACAACTACATAATATGTTAATGACGAGAAACATCTACATAATATGTTAATGACGAGAAACATCTACATAATATGTTAATGACGAGAAACATCTACATAATATGTTAATGACGAGAAGCAACTGTAACATCTACATAATATGTTAATGACGAGAAGCAACTACAACATCTACATAATATGTTAATGACGAGAAACAACTACAACATCTACATAATATGTTAATGACGAGAAACAACTACAACATCTACATAATATGTTAATGAAGAGAAACAACTGTAACATCCACATAATATGTTAATGACGAGAAGCAACTGTATCATCTACATAATATGTTAATGACGAGAAGCAACTGTAACATCTACATAATATGTTAATGACGAGAAACAACTACAACATCTACATAATATGTTAATGATGAGAAACAACTACAACATCTACATAATATGTTAATGATGAGAAACAACTACAACATCTACATAATATGTTAATGACGAGAAAAAACTACAACATCTACATAATATGTTAATGACGAGAAGCAACTGTAACATCTACATAATATGTTAATGGCGAGAAACAACTACAACATCTACATAATATGTTAATGACGAGAAGCAACTACAACATCTACATAATATGTTAATGACGAGAAACAACTGTAACATCTACATAATATGTTAATGACGAGAAGCAACTGTAACATCTACATAATATGTTAATGACGAGAAGCAACTGCAACATCTACATAATATGTTAATGACGAGAAGCAACTACAACATCTACATAATATGTTAATAACGAGAAGCAACTACAACATCTACATAATATGTTAATGACGAGAAGCAACTACAACATCTACATAATATGTTAATGACGAGAAGCAGCTACAACATCTACATAATATGTTAATGACGAGAAGCAGCTACAACATCTACATAATATGTTAATGACGAGAAGCAGCTACAACACCTACATAATATATATATTATTTACAAATCCCCTCTTAATATACTATTTTTCAGTGCTTCTAGCTTCATGTGCTCTCCGTACCTTGGAGTTTAATCTGTGCTGCTCCTGCTTCCAGTCGCAACGAAGAAATATAATGCTGTTTTTACAAATGTTCGATTTAATCAATCTGGATGAAGCTGAACCAATCAGGCAGCTCTGACTGTGGTCAGAGACTTGTATTGTTTTCCCACGATATCAACTATATTAGACAATATATTAGTTTCTTATCAGTAGCATAATTTTATCAAACGTGTATTTATAAATGTTTCCACACAGTCTTCTGTAATCTACACTATAGACAGTACTCTTTCAGAAGGAAGATGTATAAAGAGTTATCTCTTCATTCACTATTTTTAAAGGTAAGAAAGTGTAAGACTGTCTAAACTTTGCTTTTAGTAAATTGCGTTATCTGAATGTGCCTTATATTAGAGCTGTATACTTGTTCATTTATATCCGTCTGATCCTTCGGTTCTATGTAAAATTTACATTCGCATCCAGGGCGCCTACTAGTCTATTTCAATACTTGTGTAACGATCAGTATGATGTTTCTTCACTGCTGTATACAACAGGGTGCAGTGTTCAGAGAGCGGAATTTTGAACGGTTCTAGAAAAGAAGAATGATGCCAGTAAGGAACAATGGGATGTGAAATATGAACTCTAAGTTGCTTGGATGTATTACCGAATGTTTGTTAGTTTATTTATTCATTTTTGACTACATAAACAGGATAAAATTTTCCCTCGGGAATGCAAAATTTCGCGTTTTTTATGTTGGAAATATTCACTTTACTGATTTGAAATCGATTGAAATTCGCTTAGAATATATATATATAGTAGGAGGGTGTCAACATGCATTTTTGTTTTTTACTTTTTCTGGTTTCTTATGTGTAACAAGAAATTTGTGGGAGAGGAGCTTTAGCCCTACAGATTTTTAAATAACACTGGAAAAAATAATGTTATTAAATGTTATGTATATTGCCGTAAGTATTAAGGGGGGATACATATGTATGGTAAGGTAAATACACTTTCTGTATCTGGGAAACTGGTGATCTGACTTCCCCTGAACTGTAAGACCCCTGGGATCCAGGTATAGCCTACTCTAAATTGGAACTACTGACAAGAGGGGGGACATCCAGTCAATAGTACCCACTACCACGTGAACTTTATCCGGCAGTTTGAACTGAATAACGGGATTGATTATCACTTATAGCACTTTCACAGCTGAAAGTGTGGGGTGTGTTCAGTGGCATCGCGACGCAAACCTTGGCCCTTTATTGATTCGCAACAAGATACAGTAACCACTAGTCTACGCCTGGCCCAGTTGGTATCGGGACTCTCACAACAGAGGGTAGAGCTATTCACTTTTTGTTTTCTTTTTACAGAAAAGGTAAAACCCCTTCCTTCCTAATGTGAATTCTTACCCACAGCTTCGTAGATTGTTTCTGAGTTCTATTCGGGGAACCTATTTATATAGATTCATATAATTCTGTAAGCTCCAAATCTTCTGACATGCGTAGAGAATGCGCTGCGATGAACTCCTCCATTGCTGTAGCTTTTCTAATCACTTACAGTCCTCGGCTTCTTTGATCCTAGACGGTTTCCAGACCCCCCAGCCTCGTAACATCGCGCTCCTGCAGTAAGTCCTTGCTATCGACAAACTTTTTTTTTATTTAGTCAGTTTCTATCTTTGTGTATATAAATTACATAAATCTTGACCTCGTGTGAAATTATAGTAGTCTCTTACTAGTTATCGGCTAGTCTTGTTTCCAAAACGTGGCCAGTTTACTAATATATACATAAGGAGATCCATAAAAGATAAAATATATTATGACTGGAGAAAGTAATTAATTTTTTATTTATTTATGGTATAGCTACTAAGATTATCTGCCACCGTCCCTAATTTTGAACTAATAACCAGAGGAAAGGAAACCTAGTCAGCAATACCAACTATCCATGCTAAGGGATTGACTCTCACTCTTACCACGCACCCACCGTTTGAAGTGTGGGAATATTTTGTTATATCGCAAGCATTCTAACACGAATTGTCATGCGCAAAATCCAGAGTTCTACCATATCCGTGCCCACATTTGATAAATAATTAAAGGCAGCGTCATTTAGCAACCCCTTGTACGTGTGAATAGTCTTTTAAATTTTGTTTTCCAATACGAGCTCTCATGTTCACTGTAGTAGTAAATTAAATGTACTTGACCTATTTCCAAAACTAATTTTGATTTCATAGGATTAGAAGTTTTAGATCTTTCTGTGATTACCATTTAAACCTTTGAAACTCAGCAGGTATTGTAATTTTTACAGTTTGCAGACTAGTTTATTATATCAGAAGAAACTCGTCGTAGGAAAAATATCGACAACTCCTTTACTTTTCTAGCTTTATCAATTTTGTATTCCAACATAAAGGACCCAGAAATCTGATTTTCGTATTTTCTATTATAATAATACTCAGTTTTTATCCGCCCTGAAAATGCGCTCGCACCTTACTATCTATATGCACATACGCGTGCACTTCATTATCAACGGATGAAAATAAACTTTAGTAAATATTTTGTACAACAACGTATTAAAAACTTATCAAAATTTTTAAAAAGGTCTAACGTTAGTTTGTATAATATCATTATAATATTATTTACTTATAGTATTAAGTATTGTAAAGTTTAGCCCTAACTAAATAACAAACGTACACAAATTAGTGTTAGTTTACCTCTCTATCGAATACAAACCGTACTTAATAAAGGCTTAACTAATGTTAGGCCTAAGCCAAGTGAACTTACAGGTTTCAGTGTCTAAGATTAGAATTATTTTGTATTATACCAAAAATCCTGTACTTAAATAAATACTGTTGCAATAAAGACACTGTTTTGTGGGTCTCTGCTAGTACCAAATAAAATGGGGTGTTAACGTAGCCCTGTGAATGTCGGACTGGGGATCCGAGGGTCTCGGGTTCAGACATTATACTACCAAACACTCTTCGCATTTTCAGCTGTGGGTGTATTATAGGAGGGACATTCAATCCCGTTATTCGATTAAAAGTAGCCACTTCAGGTGGCCGGGGCTGCCGACTACTTTATTTCCCTCTTGTACGTAGTTCAAATTTAGGGACAACAATGCTTGAACTATAGGAGTCTATAATACGGATGTTTAGTCTCTTGTGTCCATGCGTCGATCACCCAAACAAACCAACTAAACAAATATAATTATGCTATTTACAATAGAGATTTTATATATTTTTATAATGTGTAACACCTGAATAAATGTAAAATAATGATCTTTAAGCATAATGTATATTTTTCATTTCAGGTTTGTGTGGAGATGCCTACTAGTATCGTCCAGTAATATAGTCTAACTCACGATCGTACAATTCTGGCAGATCGTGGAGATGTCATATCTTCAGCTGTTATTCTGGCTGCTGAGTCTTGTTTTGACTAGCGCTAGGGTGGTAACAAGTTCTAGCAAATACAGGTTTACCAAACCAGTCTATAATGCAACGATTTCTGAAAACGTGTTTGGAAAAGTTTATGTTACTTCTACCGAAAAAATGGGATTATTTATTTCCGATCCACTATTAACTGTTAGTTACAAGATTATAGGTGGCAATGAAAAAAATGTTTTTAAAGCAGAGGAAGTTCGTGTTGGGAACTTTTGGTTTCTGCGTATTAGAACCAGAACTGACAGCGACGTTCTTAACAGAGAAAGCATTGATCACTATGTTTTGAAAGTAAAAGCAGTAATTAGAATAAAAGAAAATTCTAGAAAATTTAAAAGGAAAACTAAAACTGAAGTGCATGTTAAAATACTGGATAAAAACGACCTAAATCCGTTATTCCCCCCTGACGGTGATGTGTATCATGTGACAGTGTCCGAGAACACCTCGCTATACCAGACCATTGCTAAAGTTAGTGTTTATGATTCAGACATTGGTGTTAATGGAGAGGTTTATTTTAGTTTCAAGAATCCCACCTTTCAGTTTGCAATTCACCCTACCATGGGCACTGTGTATTTAACTCGTCCTTTAAACTACGAGAAGAAAAGTGAATATGAATTGACCATTGTTACTCAGGACCGGGGACCCAAACCACGCACTGGACGAATAATTGGAGTCAGCATAGCTGCTCTAAAGGTTTCCGTAACTCCATCAAATTATTATGCTCCGAAAATCTTCATAAGATACTTTTCTACCGTAGCGGAAAATCACATTCCTAACATTTACGCCGTTATTCGAGTTAGCGACGCTGATAGTGGTAATAATGGGGAGATTCATAGGTTGGAAATTTCTGGTGGAGATCCTTACGGATATTTTCGAGTCACTAGCGGAGACACACCGAATGATTTTTACATTCAGAGTTCTAGGCCGTTTGACCGAACAAGGGACCTTACTTTTTTCAATCTGACTTTGAAAGCTACCGACAAAGGGATTCCACCAAAGACGTCTACAGAAGTAATTTCTGTTAAGGTAACTGATGTCAATGATTATCCTCCTGTGTTTGAAAAGACTAGCTACTATGTAGAAGTAGAAGAGGTATCTCCAGTAAACACGCCAATTCTGACTGTTAAAGCTAACAGCCGAGTCAAGGCAGCCAGAATTAAATACACCATCGACAGTGGTAATGTAAAGGAAACGTTTCATATCAATCCAATAACAGGACAGATTGCAACTGCCAAGCCTTTAGATCGTGAAAAAAAATCCAAGTACACTCTTTTCATTAGTGTTGTTGAACAGGGAACTAAATATAACAGAAAGAAGGGAACCGCCACCGTAGCCATCAGAGTGTTAGACAGCAATGATAACAATCCTGTGTTCAATTCTTCTTCAGTTGTGACCGTCCACTTTGATGAAAACAGACCTATTGGAAGTGTTGTATACACTGTTAATGCATTAGACTTGGACGATGGAGATAACGGTTATGTTTCTTATAGTTTAGCGAACGTTAACCCTGTTCCATTCAATATAGATCATTTTTCTGGACAAATTAAGACTTCAGATGTGCTGGATTATGAAACAATGAGGAGGGAATACTTGTTGAAGGTTCGTGCGTCGGACTGGGGCTCGCCAATTTCACGCGAATCCGAAATTTCCGTGAGAGTCCGTTTGAGAGATGTGAATGACCATAGACCTCAGTTTGAAAAAGTTGATTGCGAAGGATACGTATTTCGACAAGCTGCGGTAGGAACAGAAATTCTAACATTGTCAGCTCTAGATTTCGATGCCGGCAGCATCGTTAGTTATCGTATGGTACATCCAGACGACGCCTTCTGTTTCCAGTTGAATACTATTACTGGGGTCCTAGCTTTAACCTGTGATTTGACACAGCAGAATTTTCGAGAGAAGTACGTTAATGTTTCGGCCACAGATGGCCAGCATTTTGCTGACATCATGTCTATACGCATTAAAATTTTAAGTGAAGCTCACAGTCGTTCAATGGGAGACATTAGAAACCGAAAGCCAAATAATAAAGATGCGCTTGTAGAGTGTCGAGACATGGGTGTTATCGATAGAATGAAAGAACAAATGGAATTAGGAAAGAATAATAATAATCAAGAGACTGAACATGATGTCACAGAACCCACGCTTGCCAGTTATGTAGAGAATATCCACGCTCCACAATTTTTGAGGGAGCTGCCCAATCAGATAGAAGTAAGTGAGGGTGTACTTTTGGGTACCACTGTTTTGACACTAGTGGCAGAAGACAGTGACCATGGATACAACGGGAAGTTAGTTTATGTTATTTCAAATGGAAATGAAGATGGTTGTTTTAAAATTGACATGTATTCCGGAAATATTGTAGTCATGGGGGACATTGACAGAGAAAGGAAGTCTAAATACGTATTAAACATTTCAGTTTTCGATCTCGGTCAGCCCCCAAAGTCAGCTTCTAGGACACTAATTATTTATGTCAAAGACATTAATGATAATGCTCCCATGTTTGAGAAGACTTCGTATGACTTTCATATTAAGGAGGATTCCAAAATCGGAACGAGCATTGTTTGGCTTCGTGCCTCAGACATGGACAGAGGCCTTAATGCACAACTTCACTTTTCATTAATCACAGATACTCGCGACTTTCATGTTGACGGAGTTAGCGGACTCCTAACTATAAATAGAACACTTGATCGAGAAAAGATTGACCACTATCGTCTTAAAATACGCGTGTGCGACACAGGAATTACCCAACCTCTCTCATCTACTACTTTGGTTAACATTTGGGTTTTGGATGTGAATGACAATCGGCCAAAGTTTAGTCGGCGCCATTATCAAACCAAGATCAGAGAAGACCAGCCATTGTGGTCTGTGATTATGATTCTCTCTGCCCATGATCCTGATCTGGATATGGAAGGGAAAGTGCATTACGAACTGAAGGGCAACGTCACTAACACATTTCAAATTGACCCAGAAATGGGCGTGGTCAGATTGGCAGGTAAACTTGATTTCGAAAGTCGACCAGTTTTTAACTTAACTGTTGTTGCACGTGACGAAGGAGATCCTCCTCTGTACTCGAGCACTTCTTTGCTTGTGGAAGTACAAGACGTGAACGAAAACGAACACGCACCCAAGTTTCCAAGTTTTGCGGAAGAAGGGAAAGTACTAGAGAACCAACCAAAGGGTACCTTTGTGATACAGCTGAACGCTCGTGACGAAGATCCAGGAGGCTTAAATAGCAAAGTGACATACTTCATCAATGGAGATGATGGGATGGGCATGTTCTCAATCGACGATCAAGGTAAGTACAATAATCGTTTCAAATTTGCGTTACAGTTTACTATGACATTTACATGCTTAATAGCACATCTTATTAAAGTATGACGAAGTTGTTAGACTTTTGTAAACATCATATACATTTCTCATTGTTTTAGGATATAAAACATTTTAAAGTTTTGGTGGGAAAACATTAACGTACTGTTTTGTGTTAATTACGAATATTGTAATGTCACAAGAGGATGCTCCACGTTTAAGTGAGATTCGATTCAATCAATCTAGAAAACGCCTTTTGTCGCTGCCCTTAATTCCTTCACCCTAGAGTAGAAATCTTGGATGAGCCAAAGCTAGAATTAAATGTTATAAAAGTGTTTCATAACTAAAAGGGAGAGACGGTTTGTGTTATGACCTTCAATGTTTTAATAAAACTGTCAGTAACTTTACGCAGCGAACGCTTTGAACCTAGAAGAGATACTTTTTCAACGTAGATACGATCGACTGACTTTATGAGTGTAATTTAGCGTCAACTGAAAGTGTTTAACTGGAATAACACAAATAGAGAGCGTTCTGTTATTAACTGCAACGTCACAGCATCATTATACATCATCGTAACACAGTTATTTTATATCAAATGTATTGAGACACAAAAAATATTCAAATTCCTAAAGGAATGTAAGTATTGCGTTGACACAGACATGTATGTCTCTATGTCATCGAGCTTATATGGGGTTCATTCACTTGAACCAATAACTCCTTAACGAGTCGTATATCCCGTAGGTAACAAATTCATGACTTTGCGTATTTCGTTTCGAGAAGGACTGATGCCAAAGAGAGTTCCCACGAGTCAAGGAATCTAGAAATTCTAACCAAAAAATTCAGGGAATTTTGTATCTTCAGCCAGGAAAATTGCAGGGTGCACATGCTAAAGTATTTTGCATAATATACATGGGTAGGGCAGTTATATAATTTAATACTCCAGACCAGTTGTACTGAAAGTTTTTAAGATCCATTATGAAAGATAATAATAGCGTTTTTCAGGCGGAGTCTAGCTTTTATTGTAAAGGTGTTTTATTTTACGTATAGAAATGGAATTACTTGCGCGCATTTCTGTGAAATAACCAATAATTTCTCTAATTTGACATGATAATTTTAGTTAGGGAATTTTGAGTCTTCCAAACTGTGGGAACACTCAGGTGAGAAGTTCACCTGATGTTGTGGTTCCAATATATTTTAACTTTTTATTAAGAACCTGTCTTACAGCCATGTGGAGAGATCGGATATCCCCACGAAACTCTTCTAACTTAAACAAGAATATCGAACATTTCACTGTTAATTAAAAACTGAATAATAGGTGTAATTTAGTTTGGCGGCTTAATCAACGGTCCATTATCATAAGCATGAGACGTTTGTGCATTGTATAAGGGATTATGTGATTTAAATACCGTCTTATGGTGATAATCTTCATAGGTATATTACTGCCGGCCCGGCATGGCCAGGTGGATAGGGCACTCGACTTGCAATCTGAGAGTCGCGGGTTCGAATCCCCGTCACACCAAACATGCTC